GGCCACCACATTCATTTTATTTAAAAAAAAGAAGTTGTTTTTGAAAAATATTTCAAATTTCATTTTTTATGCCACCCCACCCAGTCCCGTCCCGTCAATTTTTTTTTTAAGAAACAACTATTTTGGAAAATATTTCAAGTTTAAAAACAATTATTTTTTATGCCAACTCCCCCTACCCCGGTGCGCCATCCCATAAAAAAAATCAGTTCATTTTAAAAATTGTTTTTGAAACATATTTCAAATTAAAAAAAAAATCATTTTTATGCCACCCTTACCTGCTAGCCTGCGCGACCCCATCAATTTTATTTTTTTTAAAAAATTATTTTTGAAAATTTTTTTCCTCGGTCAAATCTCATGGTCGGATTTTGGAATGGTTATCAGAGTCTTGTCCTAGTTTGGGTGTCGGGATCGGGTCCTAGATCAATTATCGGGGTTGATTTTCGGATCATAAATTATTTTTCTAAAGAGTAGTTTTTAGTCTCAAGCCAAAAATTAAAGATATTTTCTGAAAAATATTTTTCATTCACCAACCAAACATTAAAAATTATTTTCTACTCACCAACCAAATATGAGAAAATAAATTAGAAATCCAGTTGTTTTCCAAGAAAATATTTTCCAGGAAAACATTTTTCTCTCGGAATTTCTTCTTTCTATTTTCTTGTTCTTACAAGTTGCCACTATTGACTTATCTAGCAAATTCAGTTTTTTCTTCACAAATTATTTCTTCGTTCATATATTAATTCGTCCCCTTCTACAAAGTCAATGGATTTCCTTTGGAAAAAAGAAGAAGATTAGGCAAAACACAAAACTATTCATATTGACTAATGTGCCCAGAGTTTATGTAATCAAAGTACTAAATACTCGTTTAGTCTCATATTACTTGGCCTTGTTAACACTAGTAAAAGTTGACACTCTTTAAGTCTTAACCTAAAGTATACTCCAAAAACTAATGGCAGTACTCAAAATGCAAGGCCACAAGTACTTATCAGAAAGACCAAGACTTAAATTTGAGGTTCAAGTTTCTTGCACATCTCATTAAACATAAAATACATTTTCCCTGTATTGTCGCCATTTTCTATTCTTCACTAAAAGAACTTGTCGAACTAACTCGATATTGACACTCTAAACCAAAATATACTCCATAGACTAATGTCAGTATATTGGTATTCGTGTGAATTTGATATCAATCATGACTATATGAAAAGTCCACATATGGTGAATAATGCCAAAGAAATATGACTTGAGAATTTCCATGGACTGGTTGAGGGGAGGAGACTGGACTGTTGACTCAGACTCACTAATACAACTTGTAGTACTAAAAAAATTTACACTCCAATGAATTTGATATCATTAGATATACACATAATCTAAGATCATTTATTTGCCTCATCGATCAATTCTTGTTTTAGTAAAAAGAGAGATATCAATCTGCTATTAGTTATGGGAAGAAGTTGCAATCTTCTCTTTGCACTTGTGGTTTTCATTCTGCTCCATACTTCATTCTCTACTGTTCCAAATATTAGTACTGATGAAGCTGCTCTTCTTGCATTAAAATCTCACATTTCTTTTAGTCCTAACAACATCTTAGCAACCAACTGGTCTTCTTCCACCCCTGTTTGCACCTGGATTGGAATCACTTGCACCTCCCGACACCATCGAGTCACAGCTTTAGACATTTCTAGTATGCAACTTCATGGTACCATTCCTCCACACCTTGGAAACCTCTCATTTCTTGTTTCCCTCAATATTAATAACAACAGATTCCATGGGAATTTACCCCAAGAGTTGGCTCATTTGCAGAGGTTGAAATTGATTGATGTCACAAGTAATAACTTAACTGGTGCCA